AATACAGGTGATGAACTAATGTATACCTAATCTATAGAATAGCTTGCAGAGGCGTACCATCGTATCAGTCTGACGTTTTTGTACCTTCGGACTATGCGGTAACAATCTACCGGCCTCGAAAGAAAACAAAAAACCGATTGCGATATTGCAGGTCAGTGTAGGGTTTCTCTAACCCCTGCGCCACACTTACTTTGTACTTGTGGAAGCCAAAATGTGAGAGATTTTTTGAGGAGGCCCGTAGGGCAGGTGTTTACAGGTATATGTATAAAACATAGTTCTTATAAACGTCTTGTTCTTCCGGTTGACTGCAGTCAGTATCTTGCAAATGAAGGACGTTAAGTTTAGAACAATAACAAAGACAGCGGTGATGACGCGATTATATGGTCTGAACCTGTGCTTACAAGAAGTCTTAAGCTGAATGGGAAGCTAATGATATTCATAAACAGCCTCGAATTCTTGTTCCAGACTGTACAGCTGAGGACTTAGTGTACGAAGAAGGATTAAACACCAAAAGCGGTTAGATCTAAATGGAATATGTTTGTCAGATACATTCACTAATATTGACTAGAAGTAAGCCGATATAGTAATTCTTTTATTGTTTGAACAAGGACGGATGTGAGAACTAGCAACAGGTCTTCTAAGTAAAGAAAGCTTTTGAAAGACGTTCTTCCAGGGCGTTTTCGGTCTCGCAATACTGGTCAATCATAACGAAAATTATTCATATTACTTGGAAGACAGCATGTTTCCAAAGCATGAAGGAGTTCTAGTGAAGAATGGAAATAAAAGTAAAATCAACAATAATATAACAGTGCCCAGTTGCCTGGATATCAAAACGACTCTTGCGAATTTGACAAAATGTCTCACGCTGTTGATTGTGGCAAGACCAGTTTTTCTTTTTTTGTCAATTCATTCGCTTTCCGATTAGGCATTAATCCACTCTTGAAACTTAATTGTCTGAAAGAAGAATTACGAAAACTCGTCCCAAATCAAATTCTTCCATTCCTCATTCCCTAATAATTTTTTTTCTCAGGATTGTGAAAAGCACGTTTTCAATTCATAAATGCTATTCCTAACAAAGGGAAAGTTTCTCTTGAGCAACATATTCAACCGCGTATCAGTAGTTTTGCTTTGTCGATAAGAAATTGTAAAAACTTGTATACTTCATTAACAACGTGTGAGCACGACGTTCTTCTATTATCAGAATCTGAGATTTTGCTGGAAATTGGAGTTTGAATGAAGACTGAAGTAGTTATGGAGTAGTGCAACATAAGTTACGAGGAGTGAGGGCATTTTTATGAGAAAACATATAAACATATATTATAAAGTCTCATTAGTGAATTTCTGTATTATTTGAAATCTCTGCGTCCGAGTTCTCATATTGTGTCCGCTTCAGTTTTTAAGCATAAAACCCTCATAATTTTGGTTTCTTGTGATACTACTTTAATATCTGAAGAAGAGAAAAACTGTTTTCGAGAGGATATCAAGAAGAAAGCGGCAGGTTCGACTCTCTTTTTAACACTGGCAATCAGTCAAATAAACACTAAGTAACTTATTAGCTCGGCTACCTCCAAACCATCAAAAAGGGTTGTCTCAACCAACACTCTATGACAATGATAAAAAAGCAAATTCCTCAGGTAGCAGTCGAACCAGCAAATGAAATGTTGAAGGTTTTCGGAACGATGAATGCGAGGGACCGAATTGACTGCTTGAAGTGCTGGAACGCACACAGTAAAAATTGTGGCAATGGGTCTTGCGGAAGAAAACCTTCTAATGTCTGTTATTGACATTAGAGCACCTATGGCAGAATGATTATAGTTGCCCTTTGACAAATACGTCATCGATAGTTCAACTGCGCGCCCAAAGTTCGTCAAATATCCCATCTCTCTGGGGTCGGCAATCAGGGTACCAGAGTTAACTGAGGGTCGCAATACTGATTTAATATATTGGTAGATCACCATGAGTCGTCGTAAAAGCCTGATATGTATGAAAACATTTCAAACGATATTTCATGAAGTCGAATTCATGGTGCACCCCTTAGAGATTGATCAACGCCTGGAGCTTTATCCTTTAACCTTTCTTTCTCACTGGTAATATTACTATTATGTTATTTTTGCTATGTTTCAAAGAAAAGGCATAAGGCGGATTGAAAAAAGCTTGATGCTCTGGTGATTCTGGGCGTTGATGCCAAGTTCACAAGAGTGAAACGAGGAATCCAAAGAAAAACATTCGCGTAAAAATGGTCAAGGAATTTTCTTGCGTTCAGTATCACCGAAACAACTGCTAACAAAAGTCTTCATATGACAATATGCGTCTCGAGAACAGATTAATAAAAAACGCTACATTGCACAAATTCCTTGAAATAACAAGAACGCGGTGGAATAATGCAGAAAAAGAATATAAGACAGTAGAGCTGGTAAAAAGCAAAAATTAACGTCGAGAAAAGCCGATAGGAGGAAGACAAGCAATGTAATTTGGAAGCCATTTGCTGCACAAAAAGTAAAATAAGTGCAATGTTATGCAAAGTTGAAAGTGTTTCTTTTACGCGTATGGTTTGCGGGGCAGTGAAAAAAGTATGAATGCTCCAAAAAATTCTTATAACACGATGAACGACTTGAAGACAGTAAACACATAGCTATTAATGAAATTCACTTTCTGAAAGACATAATAATCAGAAAAATGACTATTTAAAAGATAAAATTAATGTCAATCAACCAGAATATGTTAATATTGAGGAAGACCATACGAAGCTCGATAGTATAGACCAGAGCGGGAAGCAAAGAAGCGGTGAGTATAAGGAGATGGTTTTCCCTTGAGAAAAAAATATAATGGCACTAGGTTATGTCACCTATGGTGGTAGAGCATTTTGAAACGTTCAATCGGACAGAATGAGGTGGACGCGCAGTTAAAATCACGAACGAAAATCTCATGTGTTCCACTTTTGGTCGCCACAAGTACCTTTTTAGGATAGCGGGATGAGTCAAAGTGCTAGGCATTCAGTGAAAATCTCATTTGTCACCTACTACTACATCCCAGTTGTTCACTCCTATCACCTAAAAATACTCTTCTTGATTATCAATTATACAAAAGCTATTTTTGAAATTTCGAAGATCTCAAAAATTGAGCGGAGCGTTCCGCTTGTATAAAGAACCTTTTTTTCCATTTCATTCAACTGTTAGTCACAATCTATTCGAGACTTCTTCTGTGCACAAAATTGTCAAGGTTACGAAAAAGTAGAAAACGACATTGTGGGCTTGATATGGCAACCCTGAATATACATCTAAGTGAACATTGCAAGCCAACTTTGAATTTGTCATTTATCCTACACTTGAACTCAACCAGCACAATCAACCAAGATATCTCTGAGAACCATGAAAAACTCGAAAACGACCAATCTGCGCTCATCCTCACATTAGTACATCCGATGCACAGTTGTCAGGACTGTCTTTGAGAAGAGATAGTAAATGCATTTCTAAAATTATTGCAGGATTTCAGAGAAAACCGCTTTTCGTCACATTACAATGTTAATGAATCGAGAAGATGAAGAATCGCCAAGTCGCACTCGATTCTGCCAATGAATCCGAAGAAAATGTGAGGAGTTTTGCGCTATCCGTGCTGTACATACGACAAAACTAATCACAATAGCAACTATTCGACTTAAGTCAACATTAGTGAAAGTGTTAAGCATTTCTCGAATTCCAAACGGATGGTGAGCAACTGTGTGAAGGCGCAGCCGAATATATTTATACTGTCAGCTTGCACAAAAGTCAAGTTCGTTTTCTCTCATTTATTTCTGCGCTCGTGTACAGCATAAACACGAATCCGCAAGATGCAAAAAGCACTTCATACAATTATCAGTGACAAAATGAGTTCAACTGGAGGGATTTCTAAGCAATAACAGACATTCAGCAAACTATTGGATGAATTTGTTATTCATTTTCCGAAATTTCTGAAAAATAATTTGGAAATTTTGTAAGATCACTTATGAGTTCAAAAAGCGCCGTTTATTATACTTCTCATTACAAGAATTTTCAGATCTTCAATCTTCCCACTAAGTCGCATTATGCGAATACTTCTGAGTATTCGCGAACCTACTCTTCCGAAAGAACTCACTCAAAGTTCACAGATAAGAGATCTCCGCGATAGCTAAGGTCGTCAGTTGTGGTGGTCATCACCTAGCACGTCATCTGTCACAGCAGCTATGGACAGTGTGGTTAAAAATGGAGAAAGACGCGCACGAGATTCTTATAGATTACATCTGAAACGGCAATGCCGCCACTTCATTGTCAGCTTTTTTTCTCCACAGGGAGAAAAGGGCTAGCCAAGTATCAAACACTAACCGAGGTATATTTTCGCCAAATTAGTTCAACTATTGCGATCCATTTATCAATTTCTGACTATATATCACAGCGGCGGAATTAGCGTTGGTAAGAAATTTGTTACTAAAGAAAGCAATTTAATTCTACGCTATTCGATATAAAAATGCCATTTTCCAAAACATGAATAACGCGTTAACCCATTTGAAGACTGCATGAATACTCAGGTGTTCATAGATACGGTATTCACGACTTCGTTCTCAAATACCCCCGAAGTTATAAGAACCCTTTATTCTATTACCTTTTAGCAGTGGTATGAGGTGGCAAATATGCATCTAAGAGTTTAAGTGTTATGTAAAACATTCGGCATTAGGCGGGAGATTAAATCGCGTCACACATATACAGCAGCGCCTCCTGTACGAGTGAATCGCAGGTTCACTTCCCACCTGATGCCGAATGTTTCGCTCAGCACTCAACACTCTTAGCTTCCTAGGCTTTTACAGTATCTTTCCCATTTTGCAGACAGAAGAACAGAACGAGGATTCCAAGAAATCAGTTCACCGCGCTAAACCTGATTTCGGATTGTCAAATCAATGCTCGGAATTTCCGACATTTTTATTGCATTTTTTCGCAGTGCTGTTACGTTTCATATACACCCTAAAAGAATTGAGTGGTGAACAAAAACACAGCCTCAGGCGGGAATCGAACCCGCGCTTTATCCTACCGCGCTTTATCCTAACCAAGGACGCGTGCTCTACCACTACAACACCGGAGCACATTTGCGCTACCACTCGACTGCGCCACTGTTTTTGCCCACCACCCAGCTCAGTACTGATTCCAATAAGTCAGTCAGCAGTGTGGTGAGCTGCTCTCTAATGTGTTAACGACTTTGCCATAAGTGTGCCAAAACCATGCAGTATCCTCTAAGAAAAAAACTCGCCAAGAAAATTTCAAGCAAATAACGGACTCCAAACTACGTTCACGCCTTTTCGACTCAACAGTTCTCCTAGCGCTATGCTGCAGCAGAGACGTGGGCCGATACTCCAACCACGTCAAGAATGCTGCGAACTATTTTGAAGCTCTTGATCAATGTCTTCTAAAATTCAGTCGGCACTCACAACGTCTAGTCGGCTCACGCAGCTCATTTCGAATGTTTTCCCATTTTTGTAAGCCAGAAGAATATGCACTGATAACGAGACACAAATTAGCCGGTCTATATAACGAAGAATAGACGACAGATGGACGGAGAGAACTGTGGGGTGAATTTCACGAAAACAGACCCGCCCATATGGGCGACCACTTACACATTGGGCGGACGTGTTCGTAAGGAAAATTAGTCAGGTGTACTCGTAGCCGCCAATGTCTTACAAACCACAGTATGAGACTCGCACAAGCCGCCATAATCGAACTGAACCACCACCATGGGACGGCGACCGCGAGAATAACAAATGAATGGTAAATGTTCCGGGGTGCTCTTAATCGTGAGAATGGCCGTCCAGGTATACAAGTTTCCATGCAGCGTTATATAAAATCACACAATGAGGCACATATGTCTTCGAGTTGCTTGCGTGACATTGCTTCCTATCAGTCGTTTTAATTTATTCATTTATTTTTATTTTTTACTTATTGAACTATTCGGACACGTGGGGCGCAGTGTTAGAGGTGCCGTGCAACACAGAAGTGGTAGATGATTCGACCCCGTACCCAAGGCGCAATAGGCCTTCAAATCGCTCGGGGTCAGCGAGTTGGCTCAAAACATGTGTAGGACGGCGTGAATCTTTAGAGACGCCAGATTCGCTTTCAATCACCTCAAACGATGCTTGATAAAGTTGAATACATGACATTCCCTAAGGGTTGATCAACACTGAAAGCTTTGTCCTAATCATTATTTCACTTTATTCAATCATTTATAAACCCTTTCCTTTTTCCTTCATTCTTTCCTTTCTTCCTTCCTCACTCCAACGAATTTACGTCATTCCTGATCGTCCACCATGAGGTCAGCATAAACATAATTAATCTTCGAAGTAAACGTCGTCCTCGTCGTTCGTTGCCAATTAATTTCCGTCGATCGCTATCAATCGAAATGACCTTCTCGAATTCGAAACTGTCGGTGAGTTATCACCGATCTATGCTCGATTTTCAATCGTAAATGTCCCACTTTAGACCTCACTTAAATCACATGAGAAACCTTGAAACGCAAACGAATCCAAAGTATTCGTTTCCGCTTACTCATTATGTGTGAAATTCCGTCAGCTACAATATCCAGTCTAGTACCCGTTGAAATAACTCGTAACTCAATCAATGAGTATCATCGCTAATGAGCTGACTAAACATCATCGATGTCTTGCTTCAACATATCAAGTCAATTAATAAGATGGTTAATAATCCAGATTATGGGGAAACAGAATGCTGGCTCGACCCTTTCCCTCAACCCATTCTGCAACAAACCAACAAACTCCTTGCGGAACACCCTAGCTCGGTTTTCCCTAAGATAGCAAAGAGTTTGCCAGACCAGCATTCTTTGCCATCCATTGAAATGACCAAATCCTCAAGCAGCATTGGAGATGACATGAGAAATGTTGAAGACCTTTGTGGCGGATGAATGCTAGAAACGAACCGAGTATTAGAAATTCTAGGATCCATACAAAGTGGCATTACGGGTCGTGTAGATTATAACACTTTTTTACTTAATCCATCTTCTTTCCTCTTAAGTCAAGCACGAGGTTTTCGATACATTTCCAACAGCTGACTTTTTGGCGGTTCGCTTTGTTCAGAGCTTGGAATGATCAGGTTGCCACAACTCAGTCAGCTAAACAACGGCATTGCCCGAACAGAAAAAAATTTCCAAACCTAGATTTCGACGTCATCAAGCGTAAAGAAAATTACATAATACAATTCATTCCAACAGCCGATCTCAGCATGGTAAGCGTTGTTTAGAAGTTCTTCACTGAGTTTTCCAAGTGGAGACCACTCGTGCAGAGATTGCATGGAATGGCAATGCACCTCCTTGAGCAAAATAACAGTCGGTTCTTTTCCGTTATCGGGCACAGAATTAAAAAAGGAATCTTGGAAAGCCGTGCATGTTTCTGCAAATTTCCTTATTACAGCACTATAGCATTCAAAATAAGATCATGTTTGATACGCTTCGTGTGTTTCAGTTTTTATCTCGCATCTATTTCGCTGAACAAATCTATCTTCTCACTCTACTAAAAACTTTTAAAAAAGGTAAATTTAGGTGGATTAAAAAATTATTTGCTCTCCGAAATGCTTCTCACAAGCCTATAGTATTCAAAATAAATTGTTTCGCGCTGGACAAAGCTTTTTTCCAAATTACAATTAATATTAAAATAGAGTAAATCTCTGAAAATCCAAGAATGCACTTAGCTTTTGGACAGCCTTCTTTCAAGTGCTGTAGCAGAGAAATTAATGTTCTTACTTCTTACGTGCCACCAGTTATCGTGCAGGTTCTCATTATTTACTTGAGAATTTTTCTCAAATCACAGAGAGTTCTAAGTTTTCTGGGTTATTGCAGAAGAAACTTTGTCTATTGCTCTGGGCATTAGGCTTTTTATTTTCGCTTTATATCGCCAAATGAACCCTTTATTCAAACTAAGGCCTAAACTTAAAGTACGGAAAGCGTATGAATGTGTAGAGAAAATCTTGGAGTCTCAAAATCATACGTTTTATCACAACTTTTCGCCAAAGCCGAGAATAACCCTGATTTCAATAACAAAAATTGCACTACACATGTGAGTCTCGTTTTTGAGATGGATAGTCGCGTATCGATGCACGGTCACGCGCACACCCTAACCAACAAGTAGCTGCGCGGCGCATGTGGAACTCAGTCTTATTTTGTTCACTACATTGGAGTAAAACGATCTTTTCAGAAAGCGCGTTTATTTCTTCCCCTCACTATGGCCGTTCATGGGTAGCGGTTTGATTCGAGCATGGCGATATAGGTGCGAGTCTCAACCGTGAACAGTAGAACATCGGCAGCTGTGAATATAGTAATTAATTCTCCTTACGGAAACGTCCATCCAAGGTATAGATAATCTACATTAGATATGGGTGTAAGAATTAGTGTATTCTTATGGACTACACTCTACAGTTTTTTGCTCAACTGCCTTCTGTTCTTCCGACTACACAATCGGCCTATCCGTGCTTGACAGGTGCTCTATATCCTTCTAAGTCAAAAACATGGTACAGGTTTGTAAGATCCGAGCTACACAAGCCGGCTAGACGTTTTGAGTGCCGACTAACTTTCAGGGTACATGGCTTGAGCGCTCTGTGAGCTGTGAGTAGTACTCTTGACGTGATTGAAAGATCAGTCTACGTCTCTGCAGCATAGTAGAGCGCTAGTAGGACTGTTGGAGTCTAAAATGTTAGCACGCAGTTGAGGGTCCATTCTTGTCTCCGGCTCCTTTGAAGAACCCGAATTCAATCCATACTGCTTTCTTTCTTCCATCTAATTCCTCCTTCATGTTATTCCTAATGTTTAACGTACGCCCTACTAGGTACACACACATACAAGTTATTATTTCAATCGTAGCACCATCCTTTTCGAATAATTCACCGTTGCACCATTGATACAGTGGCTTCTCATGGGAAAATAGATATGATTAATTAATTCAAAATGTAGCAAGCTAAAAATTCGAGAAGATTATAGCGCTTCCATGAAGCACCATCTAGGAGGATGTAAAAAGCGTTTGTGGGTTACTGTACTGTATCGTCAATTCTGGTATTTTGTATTAGTTGATTAGACTTGGTAATTGTTGATAGAGTTATTACTATTGCTACTATTACTGTCATTACAAAACTATAGGTGATAACTTACTGCAGAGTTATGGCTGAAGTGACAAAATCAGTAATCAATCAATATTCGATCAGATGGTCAAGCTAACACGACGCTGTAATGGAATTTTGATACCGTTAACACCTGAGCATTCTTCTTTAGGGTCGCACTAATCCAATAAACAGTGCGACAACTACCTTTGCCAACAAGTGTGCCGAGAAGGTAATTTTATACTAGCGCTGCCCCAGATTCAGAAGATTCGATTCATGCGAGAGCACAGACGCAGATCGCAAGGGCGGGAGCAGGCGGTTGTGGACGAACTAGTCAAGTTGTTCCAGCTATAGGGTTACGAAAACTCCAGAACGGTAGCCAAATAAATCTTATCACTAACTCGTATTAACTTGACAGTCTAAGAAAATACTGATACTTGTGCAGAATTTCAAAAAAGTCGATTTATAAAATATTAGGTTGGAAAGAAAGCTTTGACGCACTTTTAAAAGACTGAAAATTTATGCATAGATTTCAAGCAAAAACAATAACAACTAATTTCAAAATAAAGACCATCGCTTTCTGCGACTTTCTACCTTCGGTCCGTCAGGTTTCGGATATGGTCAAAGTAACATCCATTCCTTCGACTTCGAATCAAAGAACTCTCAACATAGTTCTTCAACTTCATCCAACGATTCAAACTTTGCTGGACTCCGGCATTAATGCTGAAACCAGCGTCCGGCAGCCGATTCGCTTGTTGTGTTTACCGCTCCAACTTCGTTGATTTTAACGACTGCAGCTCACTGTGAAACACCTTTTCTCCAGATAATGATGCATCAAACACGGACTTCAATTGCATCGTTGGACATGGCGGAGGCTTGTAACAAAGTGAAAATAAAGACGAATAACATGTAGGCCTTCAGTGAGAAAATCTCACATAAGGAAACGTTATATTCCCATTGATATTCATGGGTTTCTCATGCTTATTGAAGCTC